TAACATGCCAGTCACTGGTGACTTACCTAGCCCCCCTACTACAGCTACTTTGGAGTCTTTTGCAGCTGCTACAGTGAGGGCTAAACTTGAGAGATATGGGTAGTTACTAAATCAGCCAGATACAATCAGCTCTAATCTGGTAACAGGTGGACAGCTAGGTACAGGTGGTTCTGGTGGTGGACATTCTACTTCCTTTGCTCATACAGGTAGTTCACATGCCACTACAAACTATGTTTCTACTACAGGTAATGAGGGACCTCCTTGGATTATAGATTTTGGAGCCTCAGAACACATGACCCATAGTTCCACTATTTTTTCTTCTTACCAACTCTGTTCTGGCAGAGACAGTTTCCACAGCCGATGGATCTCATGTTCCCATTGCTGGGAAAGGGTTTGTCAAGATTACTGATTCCATTTCCCTACCCTCTGTCCTTCATATTCCTAGATTAAGTACTACTTATTATCTGTTAGTAGTCTGACTAAGAACATGAATTGCTCAATGATTTTTTCTCCTGGCCATTGTGTTTTGCAGGATCTGGTTTCAAAGAGGACGATTGGGAGTGGTCGTGAAGTGAATGGAATCGACCTCCTAAATGCGTTTCCTCATCACCAGAGTCATCATGTTAGTAGGGATTTTGAGTCAAAGTCTATGAGTTAGATTATGCTTTGGCATAATCATTTGGGAAATTTGTCCTTTTCTTCTTTTTGTTTCTTGTTTCCAAAGTTATTTGAGTCTGTTAATAAAAGGTGTTCATCTGCTTTTGTTGTTATTCATACTGATGTGTGGGGACCATACCATGTTCCTTCTATGGGTGGCTACTGATATTTTCTTTTATTTGTGGATGATTTTTCTTGGTATTCTTGGATTTACTTAATGAGATCCCGTGATGGGGTACCATCCTTGGTTCGATAGTTTATTCAGATGGTGCTAACATAGTTTGGGGTACGAGTGAAGGTGCTCAAGTTAGACAATGCCAAGGAATATTTTGAGAAGAACCTTGCTTCGTATCTGTTAGAGTATAGAGTTATCCATCAGAGCAGTTGTTCTTACAATCCACAGCAGAATGGTGTTGCAGAGAGGAAGAACAGACACATTGTTGAGATTGCAAGAAGCATGATGATCACATCCACTATTCCAGTTCGGTTTTGGGGTGATGTAGTTCTCACAACAGTTTTCCTGATTAATAGGGTGCCCTCTCGTGTACTTGGATTCAGCATCCCATTCAGCCTCCTTTTTCTTGAGGGGGAGATATTCCACATCCCTCTCAAGGTTTTTGGTTGTGTTTGCTTTTCACATGTTCTTGGTCCTCACCGCTCGAAACTCGATCCAAAGGCAAAGAAGTGTTTTTTTCTTGGGTATGCAAACAATTAGAAAGGGTATTGCTGCTATGACCCAGCCTCTGGGAGTCGATATGTTACTATGGATGTCACCTTTTTTGAGTCCACATCCTTTTTCTCGAAGGGTTCTCAGGGGGAGTGTTTTGGGGAAATGAGTGAGCAGTCCATTCCTCTTCTAGTTCCAGTACCTGTGTCCACTCCTGTGTCTGATCCTCCTTTGTCACCTATCTTACCACCTCCCTTGTGTCCTGCTTCTCAGTGTTACTCACAACAGCACCTACAACTTCACAGGGAAGTTGATTCCACTGCAGCAGAATCCACATCACTTCTTATCGATTCCTTGGAGACTCCAGATTTGGCTGACATGGACTCAGGTATTCCTCTTGATCCCTCTAATGTTTCAGTTCCTATTAATTCTACTAATCTCATTACAGATGACATGGACCTTCCTATTGCACTCAAAAAAGGGAAGAGAAAGTGTATTGCTCATTGTATCTCACAGTACCTATCCTATAGTGGACTTTCTCCTTCTTATCGTACTTTCCTTTCTTCCCTTGACTCCATGTCTATACCCAAGGGTGTCAGTAAGGCTCTCTCCAAACCTGAGTGGAAGACAGATATGCAAGAAGAGATGGAAGCCTTAATTAATAATCATACATGGGAAATTGTGGATCTACCAAAGGGCAAGTTGGTTTTTGGATGCAGATGGGTTTATACAATTAAATACAAGGCAAATGGAAGTATAGAAAGGTATAAGGCCAGACTGGTTGTAAAAGGGTATGCTCAGACCTATAGCATTGATTACTTAGAGACCTTTGTGGATCTACCAAAGGGCAAGTTGGTTTTTGGATGCAGATGGGTTTATACAATTAAATACAAGGCAGATGGAAGTATAGAAAGGTATAAGGCCAGACTGGTTGTAAAAGGGTATGCTCAAACCTATAGCATTGATTACTTAGAGACCTTTGCACCAGTTGCAAAGATGACTTCTGTTCGGATCCTTCTCTCTCTTGCTGCTACATACTCTTGGCCCATTTTCCAACTTAATGTAAAAAATGCTTTTTTGAATGGGGATTTGCAAGAAGTGTATATGGATCTTCCTGCTGGTTTCTACAGTGATGTTGAAAAGGGGAAAGTATGCAGATTGAAGAAGTCACTTTATAGTTTAAAACAGTCTCCCAGAGCATGGTTTGACAGGTTCAGGAAGGCCTTGATTGCTTTTGGTTACACTCGGACTCAATCAGACCATACTTTGTTTGTGAAGCGGAGGGGGTCCCTGGTGTTAGTTCTGATTGTTAATGTGGATGATATTGTAATTACATGAAATGACATGAGTGAAATTGACTGTTTGAAGAAGAATCTACACAGAGAATTTGAAATTAAGGATCTTGGGGAGCTGAGGTATTTCTTGGGCATTGAGGTTGCAAGATCAAAGCATGGAATTTTCATTTCTCAGAGGAAGTATGTTCTAGACCTTTTACAAGAAATAGGGAGACTTGGAACAAAGGCAACCAAGCAAATGAGGCAGAAAAACCTATGGTGTTGTACTGTGATAATCAAGCAGCAATTAACATTGCCCACAACCCAATTCAGCATGACAAGGCAAAGCACATTGAAGTGGACAGACATTTCATAAGAGAAAGGGTGACTTAAGGGGAAGTTTGACTCCCATACATTGCTTCTGATTTGCAGCTTGCTGATGTTCTTACAAAAGGTGTTGCAAGGAACAAGAAGGAGCATGATCTACGCAAATTGGGAATGTGTGACATTTACTCCCAATTTGAGGGGGAGTGTTGAGTTGGGCCGAATTTAAGTTATTTGGCCCAATCTTTTAATTTTATTTTTAAGTTGTTGAGTTAGGAAGTAATTGAGCCTTAGGCCCATTACTTTATGTTATTTTAAGTTGCGACTGTTCAGCTACTTAAAGTAGCCGCCCTACTAAGGGTATTCATGTAGTCCTCCATTCTTTTATTTCAAGTATATAAATCAAGAGGAGATGGCGGCCAGATCTATTCAAATCTGGCGACATCCCACTCTCTTTTCTTCTCTCTTCTTCTTCTCTATTGCTGAAACCTTTCAGCTTCTTCTACTTTTCTTCACAAGGAATTCATCTAAAATTATTATCAGCAAATTCTACTCAAACTATTACATATTTCTGTCCCTCTTTACATTGCAGCCCCACTGTCACTTCATTCATCCATCCCTCATCAGTTTCTGTAAAGGGTAAAGTTTACTTACGCCTTCTATAGACTTGTGCATTAGCCTCACCTACTCATTTCTCTTGTTTCCACCACCTCAATGAGAACTCTATCTCTATCAACCACCTCTCCATGATCTACAGCTGACAAATCATCTAATTCTTTTCCAATGATGTCACTATCAGGCACACTTACCCCCTGGCTAGAGATCTCAAAAGAGCTCAGTGAGCCGACTGATTGAAATAAAGAAATCACTTATTACATCACTGAACCTTGGTACCCACTTCCACAGTCCTGCTCCTTTATGTTGTGATAACCCACACATAATTACCATTTACCTTATGTCTATTTATGTTGGATTTGAAATTTTCTCCTTTTCAGTGCCAGTTTTCATTTGGTTTTGTTTCTTGTGAGCTCCAAGTGGTTGCAAATGAGACTCGTCAAAAGATGAACTCAGCTAGAATTGCACCATGCCCCTCTTTATCACACCTTCATTTACTTGACTTCTTTCTTGATCATTTATCCTTCTACCTCCAAAAACCTATCATGTGTTCCTACCTATTACACTTTTTAGTCGGTCTTCCATGATTTCACAATCCCACCCACCTTAAGATAAGTAGTTTTTTATATGAAACTATATAACTTGCACCTATAACAGTCTACCTCTTTTATTTCCAGAAATGCCCCCATCTTCAACTTCTCAACCAAGATTTTTCAATAACCCCAACTGTTGGCCTTCAACCTGCACTTGCAATTCCACCCTCTCATTTCTAGGATCTTTGCTCACTTTCAGCCCCCCCCCTCCCCAACCTAGAATCTTATCCCATACCTTTCCCCTGCAAACTTAAGTTCTAGCAGCAAAGGGATCAACTGCCTCCCATCCACCTCTACCAACAGCCTTGCCGTTTGCAACAAACTTCAACATGCAATCCTCCAACCACACATCACAAGTCTCCCAACAGCTTTCACAATTGCATCCACCTGAAGTGTTGCACATTTTCGGTTTCACGGAAGTATCTGACTTGGGAACACCACACATGAAACAGGATACCAGACACCTGAAGCCATATTAACCTCAAAGAATACCATCAATACAAAAGAAAAATTACTGATGTACTCCAAATTTATCTGTCTTATATATACAAATAGGTCCATGCATTTTTTAAAATGTCAAACTTTATCCTTGTACGCGTTAAAGATTTAATACAAACCAAATTTCTCTATACATTTTCTTCACAAATTCTGAACTTTCTCATCAATAGAACCTATGAAAATTTGAAAAAAAGAAAGACTACCTTACCCAAAAACAAATAAAAATCAAGAACTCTGCTAGACAAACTCATTTACAAATTAGCCAACTCTATTGAGTTCCAACAAAAAGCAAACAGTAATATGTAAAACATACTTGCAACCCCACCATCCATAAGACCACAATTGATAAAAGCCTCTGAAGAGAAATCTTACAGAGCTGTAATCCAAGTTGCTGATGGCACAGCGAAACTCTTCAGGAAGAACACTTTGAGGCACTAGTTCCTGTACCAGAAAATGCAAAGAAATATAAAAAAATAGTTTCTTCCCATTCAATTAAGAAATCAAAAACTTGCATGTGCCTCCATATCAAGGAACAAAAACATTGGTGTATTTTACCATGAAAGTTCGGTAAGGGGTTGCATTTGACAAAACAACAGAAGAATGCACCTCTGTTCCATCAGCCAGCACTACCTAGATTGCAGCCACATTTCCAGTTTCATGGAAGTATCTGATTAGTTTTATGTACCCTTCCAAAACAACTTGCTAAAGGGAATCAAGGACAGACTAACCCCTTTTACTGCCCCAGAATCGTCATTGATCATCAGTTGAGCAACCTAAACAACAAAAAGGAACAATCAAGGGGAACAGATAAGTTCCAAAAGGCACCAGTCTTAAACAGCTAATATTAGTATAAGCTATAAAGGAATTCATGGAGGAAATTCCCGTGGCGTTAAGTTAATTTATAAACAAGAAGTGTTACATGATTGGTGCTCATATTATTTCTTAAAATAATCACAATGAAAACGGAAGGCATCAATGGTTTCTGTAGATGTATTTCAATTACAAAGTGATGCGTCACAACATCCTGAGAGTATGTATTTTATTTTTTGGTGAATGAGAGTATGTACTTTATTGCAAACAATATGATTCTGATGCCTTAGCAACTCTGAACCAAAAAAAAAAAAAGTGGATATTTAACACCGAAAGTTCATACATGAACAAAGTGCTTCTTCGTTAGAAGAAATAGTATCAGAAAATAACTACATACCTCAGCATTTGTTACAATATGAGCCCCAGCCTCTCTAGCAGCATTACTTATAGCTGATGAAACTGCACCCATCCCACCTTCAACATACCTATATCAAAAATCAGTTCTTAATTACAAATTCTTTTGCTAAGTTGCTAACCCATCATTTGTGACGCATTAAAAAAAACAACCAAGCTCCAAAGTAAATGTAAAACAACAGACTAATGTCTAATGGCTAACAACATCAAAAGTGTCCCTCATTTATTTATTTATTTGGCCAGTAACAAAGCATTTTCATTTACAGATTCAACCCTGTACATGTATAGAGGAAAGCAAACCTAATTTATAAAATAGAAGATTTTTTAATATCAAATCTTCATACCTAAGAAATAGACAACCAATCCCTTCAAAAGAAAGACTGATATCTAGTACAACAAAAATGATCCACTATTTGCACAAATTATGGAATATACTCTATAAAGCTCTTCCATAGGTCCAACCAAATTGCATAACAAATCATACTCCACAAAGTTTGACCATTAACCACCACCTCAAGCACATCATGAATATAAATTTGAGGCATGTTTGGCAACTCATCCTAAAGTGACAGAGTTAAGACCAGAGTCAACAGTTCAAGAAGATTAAGATCCTCTCAGTAGGATTCAAGTATTTTCCAAGGGTTAGGTGTTCTGGAAGTAGTGATATTTTTTCCCTTTTGACTTGAAGAAGTTGTTATATCAATGGTATTGAAGAGGAAGAGGTAGATCTTTTTTGGAGTAATCCAGGAACATACAGTTAATGGTTATGGAAGGAGTGTGCTGAGCAATATTGGGGAAGAAAGAAGTGTGGCAACATCAAGGAAATTGTTATCATACAACAAACTGTACCATTACGCATCCCACCCCCTAATATCAGCACCGCAACAAAGCATTCATGAAATTCAAATTCCTAATTGTAGAAGATCTTAGGTGGTGGTTTGTTGGTTCTTATCAAAGCACAGACAGCACTTGGATCCTCAGAGTATTAGACATTTGACTAGGGAAGCAAGATCTTTTGCATCCAATATAAACAGCCCTTTCCAATGGGTTCCAATGAACTGGCAGGTTTATTCAGAGAATGTTTAGCTGAACAATCACCTAACCCCATGAGCTAAGCTTGACTCCCCACCAAACCCAACTTTTTTTATCCCAATATCCACATAAACTGATTACAACATAGTCCAAATACATGCCTTTTGGTCTTTTGACCCATTTCAGGGGTAGGCAAGCGGCAGGCCTAAGACCTGCCCCTTGACCTATTTTTGGAAAAAAAAGGTTGCATTAGGTAGAAAGTACCAATACACCCCTTCCGGCATATCAGGGTGTATTGAAACTTTGATCCTTGGTATCGGCATGGAAGCCCTTGCTCTCCAATTAATTTCTTTTATTTCATTTCTGTAACTCCACATTTTGTCTCAAAGCCAACTCACCACCACCTCACCCACCCAAAGAATCTCCAAATCAATTTTGCAAATTAAACCAATCACACCCTCTGAAATTTTGGAGTCAATGCACTTGTAGCAATTAGGGCCCTGACAAAAATATGATGATCCTCAATAAAGGTTCTTTAACAAGTAGTCAAGTATACACTACCAAGACAACAAGAAACTAGTTTAAGTGACTCAATAGCACTTTATCCATAATTCTGCAAGTACTTGAAAGTTGAAACAAGAAAAGTGGGCCTAAGTCCTTAGGCTCTTTTGCAGATCCCAGTGCCCACAGCATAATAGTAGAATACCTCTCTGATCCCAAGAGTTATTTTCATTAATTGTGCTATAATTCAGTTATAACAGACAACAAGCCTGCATTATGGAAGTCATCAGAAGAGAAGCTATGTATCCCACAATTTCTGCAACATGCAAATGATCTAAACTATAAAGCATCCTCTATGTAATGCCTGTAAGGGAGAGATACGCACGACCAAATACCACGATCACCATCAGTTTCTCCCATCACATGATGTAGCAGAACATATCCGCTTCCTGGTGTATGAACAGTTCCCTATAGAAAACATGGAACAACAGGAAATGCCAATTAAACAATAACTCTGAAAAGGAGAAGTAACATTCTTTTGTAGTCTATCAATGAAAAGCATAACTCATTAGTATTGAACAGTCAGATTCCATTGCTTGGAATCATCCAAACCCATAAGAGTTTAATTATCAAAAATCCCTCTTATATAGCAGGTCATGAGCATTGATAAATGGGTACTGCAAAGCATACACATGCTAACATGATGTAATACCAATACCAACACCTAAATACCACATGGACATTTCCAAACTCTACTTCATTACATGGAGACTTCCATATAAATTGTATATTTAGCAAATCATTGTTTAGGGTAGTCGATCAAGACTATAGTCAATCTTGAATTCCAAAAGATTTCGGATTGAGAAAAGTAGAAGAAAGCAGAAGTACACAAGGGTTTTGAAAGGAGGGACAGATCGAATGAATCTGCYGCCRCCACTCTCTYAATATTTATAGGTTATGTTCACTAAATGTAGGAAAGGGCAGAATTGCCCTTAATGCTTACATGGCAAATAAAACAAATAACAAGCTGTCTAAGATAACTACC